AATTCTCCCTTAAATTCAGGGTAGCCAAATGCCGGGGTTGGGCAGGACCAGGTCCACAGGGGCCAAGTTCATGCAGGGCACAGAAGCCAGGCTAAGGGCAGTGATCTTACTCTGAGGGTACTCAGGAGCCATGGGAGGCTTGGGCAAGGGAGGATGGACACAGTAGAAGACCCTTAGATGGCTGCCACCAAAAGGCCTCCCATCCAACTGTCTGAATAGGCACAATGTTATTCGCTCCCAGGAGCCCCAAGTACTGGCACGTAGCCATGCACACTCACCCGGACGCCAGTGATGCCGGGGGGGCCAGGGGGCCCGTCCTCGCCCATCAGTCCCTCCTGGCCCTTCTCGCCATGCTCACCATCAGGCCCTGGGTCACCCCTGTCCCCCTGGGCATGAGGAAAAGAGAGAGAGAAAGAGTAAATTAGTCACCAACCGCAGCAGAGGGCCCAAACCTCAGGGCTCCGTTCAGATGTCCGCAGCCAACCAGCTCCTGGATTTCCTGATGGTTCTGTGAGTTGCTGAAAAGATCAGGCTGGCATGGCTCCGCCGGCACAGGGGACATCCCCGACATGACAGTTTCTGATGTCCAAGCCTGGGCTCAGGAGGGGATGGCTCAGGGAAGATTAGAAAGACCCTGACCACGCCTACCCCACGGAGTTCACAAAGAGCCAGGTTCAGGAGACTAGGGCCATATCTCTCCGATGAGGACACGCGGGGAGGACTAGAATGGTAATAGGCCGAAATAAATTTTTATATAAAAAAAAAATTCACCCATTTCTGCCTCATAAGTTTTCTCACTTCTCTGAATTATACTGTCAACCTTTGCTCACACGAAAATACTTCACAGCATTAATAGTAAGAGATAATCGTTTCGGTTGCTATGCACTAAGCTCAGAGCAGTGAAACAACTATTCCAAGGTAAGGAACCCAGTTAGCAGCAAACTAAGCTTAAAAAAGCATAATCTAATCAGACTGCGCGTTTCCATCATCTTTTTGTTAATGCTTTACTCTGTTGTGAACACGTCACTCTCACTGGCTGCAGAACCATCCCTCTGCCGAGTGGACGGTGGCTAGCATTTATATACCACTCGCCATTTCCAGGCCATGCCCCAGGAGGTAGTACAGGTGCCAGGAGAGCAGCATAGGCAGTGGCCACAGGGGGACAGGGCGGTGCCTGTCAGAAGGCCGCCTCATCAGGGCTGGCAGGCCTGGCGGGACCTGCAGCTAGTCTAAAAGTGGCTCAGCTATGACCTCAGAGAGGTCCTCGGGACAGAGTATACAGTCATGGGCACCAGGAAGGGGTGCGTGGGGAGCAGGCTTGAAGAAGCAGGGTGTCTTTGCTAGTTTTGTTTCCTGGCACCACACTTTACAAGGGACACTGATAAACTGGTGTGCATCCTGGAGAAAGAGCGGGCTCAAAGGGCAGGAAGCCGGAGCATGGGAACGGGACCGCGGAGAGTGCACACTGCAGGCCAGCCCTGCTGGGGTCTGGGCTCTGGGCGCAGGGGGCTGGTGCAGAGGAGTGCCAGGGCGGTTTCCGGCTCAGCCGGGGAGAACTTCCCAATGGAGAGGTCCAGGGATGACACAGAGGAAAGAGGGAGGCTCCAAGCTGAGGCACGGGCCGCTGCAGAGCAGATGTGGGCACCAAGAAGGAGCCGAGCAGATTGGTTTCTGAGGTCCCTTCCCACTGAGATTCTCAGGTTCTAAGCTGGGCCTGGCATGGAGACAGGGGGCTGGCCCTGATGATCCTCTCACAAATCCCCTTGGCTCCAGGATTCCCCTGCTGGCCTGTCATCCCTGGCCACCTGCTCTCCTAGGTCTCAGAGGCAGGCAGCCAGTTCCAGGTGGTGGCTGGGCTGGTTTTCAGCAAAGGGCTGTAGGCTGGGTCCTGCAGACCCCCACTTCCTGGGCTCCCACATAGCTGGAGTGGGTGTCCTTGTGGATCCCATGCAAAATGGACTCTGGGGGGTCCTGGAGAATCCCCAAATCTTAGGATATCTGCCAATGTTCAGAAGAGTCTTATAGGCTGCCTAGCTCAACTCTTTCAATTAATAGACGGGGAAACTGAGGCCCAAAGAGAGTCAGAGACTTCCCAACACCACACGTAAGTCAGTGGCAGGGCATGGGTGAGAGCCCCAAGTTCTGATTCTTTCTAATTCCAAGATTCTGTGCTCAGGGGACAATACCTCTCCCTCAGGCCTGGTTACACCGCCTAAGTTCAAATCCGCTGACACCTCTCAGTAACTGTGTGACCCTGGATAAGTTTCCTCATTTATAAAATAAGCACCACAGTGTTACTGCGAAGACTGAGATACTCCATGTAAACAGCTTAGCACAACATCTGGCACACACACTGAGTAAAGGTTAGCTGTGACTAAGAGTCACCGCCATAGTCACCTCCATCAGCTAATTGTCGGCAAACTCTGAGGAGATAATCAGCATAAAAACACTCTATAAATTATAAAGTACCATGTGCCATGTTTTCACCATACAGGTGATTCTCAACGAACACCATAAACAAAACAGGTTCTCTCCTGGGCTCCACACGAGGACCAGGGAAAATGCTGCACACTGTGCCACTGCTTTGGCCCAGGGACCGGGGGAAAACTGGCTTTGGAGGAATTTAAAGAGGAAGCAGCCAGGGCCAAGGAACCACGACAGGTGGGCTCGAAGACCCCCCTCCCATCCCACCTGAGACATGATTCCAAGGAGAAGAAAGGTGGCTGCCCAGAAGGGGAGCGGGCCTCCACGCCGTGCCTCAGTTTCTTCATTTGAGTTAATTCATGTAAAGCTCTTAAGGCAGATGGTGCAACAACAGGGTGAGTGCACAAGCATTTTAGCCAGAATGTTCTTCCTCATCACCAAACAGTGAGCAGACACTTGGCAAAAGGTGTGGAGGGTCTGTCAGATGCTCAGGTTACACTCTCGGATGCAGCAGGGTTGGAAGGTAGAAAGGCAGACAGATGGCGACAGGGGGCGCTCTTGCCTTTGTAAGAAAAATGCAGGCAGCTGCAGAGCCCTCCAGAGGCCTGTCACCAGGCTTCCTCTGAGAGGGGGAAGCCCCTGACCCGGAGCAACTGTGGGACAGGGCAGTGGAGGTAGCGGTCTGGGGATGGGGAAACTCAGGCCCAGAACAGGGGTGCTTATCTGAGGTCACATGGAGAGTAAACGGATGACAGAGAGAATCCTGGGACATGGTATTTGAGACCCTGGGCTGGGGAGCTGACATACAGTGTGACAGGTCAGCTCTGGGGAAAGCCCGCCTTTTGTGTCAGAGATGGAGGCCAGGGAAAGGCCTGAGCTGGAGCGGGTGCTGGTAAGTCAGAGCAGTGCCCGCCTCCTCTGTGCTTTAGGGGAGCTCCAGCTCCTCAAGTTTCCAGCATCCATAGCTGACAGATGAATCTCTGGGACGTGGCAGGTCTGGGTTAGGCCCATGGGCTTTGAGGCCAGAGAGCCCGGGGTTCGAGTTTTGGATCCTCCGCTCATAGCAACAGATGCTGGATGAATACACCTCTGCCTCCCTCTGAGCCTCAGTCTCTTCACCTTCAGAACAGGCATGTGGTGCGGAGACTGAGCCAAGGCTTGGGTCTTTGGTGAGCTAATTACTAGCTGTGTGTCCTTGGGCAAGTTTCTTAACCTCTCTGAGTCTCGATTTCCTTATCTAAAGACAGAACTTATGTGGTAGCGTTGATTAAGGTGATTCATATAAAAGACTTAGCACAGTACCGGGTACATGTGTGACTAGTCCTCCATAAGTAGTGGCTTCCAGATCATGAGTGGTGATTATTATTTTCCTGATCTTTTAGGGTGTTTAGGAGATAATCAATAATAAAGGCGCTGGCTCTGGGCCTGACATAGAGTGGATGTGCAGGTACCAGTCTTTGCCAAGAGAAGCTGTAGTTTCGAGGAGAGGAGAAGCAGGGAGCAGAGGGAGGGGATGGTTCCCAAACCCCCTGAGCAGGGTGAGGGACAGTAGGCAGGGTGGGGGGTGGGCAGTGGACGGGCTCATCCTCACCCACCCTGCTCTCAGTGGAAGCCAGCCAGAGGTCTGCTGTCAGAACTTCTTGGGAACATGCACTTCCAGGAGAAACTCAGGTCTTAGATGGGAGGGAAGTCGGGGCACAGGTGGAGGCAGATCCAGAACACCCCCTCCTCCCCAGACCCTGCGCCACAAGGACACTTACCTTCAGCCCGTCAGGCCCTGCAGGGCCACTGTCACCCTCAAGGCCTGGCTCTCCCTGGAAAGGGTGGTGGGGAAAGACAAGGAGACATGACTGGGGAGTGGGCCCCACATGCTTTTACTTCCTCCCCCTCCTTGGGGCAGGACACCAACCCCTGGTCTCTAGGCAATGTGGTCCCAGAGCACCTGGCGCATACACAGTGGATGGTGAATCAGTGAATGAATAGAAGAGCTGAGTCACCCACTGAGCTCCCAGAAAGGGGAGGCAGGCGCCCCAAACAGCCTGCTGTCCACAGGGTGGGCTGCAGTGGGGGCAGCACAAGGCCTCGAATTAGAAAGTCTGGTCATGGAGCCATCCTAGACGCCTATGTCCAGGCTGGCTGGCTGGACTGGAAGGCAGTGTGGCCTAGTGTCTGAGAAAGGCTTTGACGTCAGGCAGACCTCAAGGTCCCCACCAGGTTTCCCATCCACTGGTAGTTTGACCACAAGCGAGCTACTCAGCCCTCCTGCATTTGTTTTCTCATGTTGCCCATCTTGTGCCTATGGCAGACACCACTAGTTGATCCACTACAACGTGGCTCCACGAGGACAAGGCCTTCTGTTACTCACTGCTGTGTCCCCAGTGCAGGGTACACAGTAGGCTCATCATTCGCTTTCCTACTGAGCCTAGATGGAGCCTCTGGGCCCTTCTCAACGTGGCATTCCAAGAAGACCATGCTTATCAATCTCCATTGACACACGAGATTTGCCATGTTAAGGCTTCAGGCTCTACACTCATCCTCTCTTGCCCTGTGGCCTTCCCCTCCCCTTCTAACTCAGTTTGTGGAGTCTCTGTTACCTTTGGACAGGGGGTAACATGAGACATTGGGAAAAAGGAAAGAAGAGAAATGAGACTTGGCTTGGGGGTTCGATGCCCCAGGAAATGAGACCCACACTAACTTCCCCTCGCTCTTGGGCCCCACCTCCCCATCTGTAAGATGCTAGAGGATGCCTGCTCTGTATCCCTCACAGCATCCCAGGGGTCCACATTCAGGCAGTGACCTTATCACAGGGCAAGAGCATAGAGAGGTGGACACAGAGGCATGCCAGGGCTTCTTAGAGAAAGACAAGCATTGTAGATTTCTTGTGGAAAAAGGGAAGATAACCTTCCATGGAACAGTTTTCAAGGATGATGGGTGTTTTTCAAAAAAAGCACTGGGAGGCCAAATAAGTTTGGAGATCCTGGATTAATCCTAAACGAACCAATTTCTTGGTTGCAGGCCTTCTCAGAGACTTGAAAAATGCTACTGCTAGTGTGTTAGAGGGAACACCGAGCATGCAGTGAGTCCCACACATTTCGACCAAAGAATGCTTTTCTTCGAAGAGCACCTCTACACTGTGGAAATGCTGACCCGCCAAAGAGACTATTCTGCAGGCGAGGAAACTGAGACTCGCGGAGGTGGAGTTAAGCCCTTCTCTCCACCCGAATACCCCTGGGGGTTGCTTTCCAGGGAGAATGAATTTGTTGTGACTTACCCGCTGCCCAATGAGGCCCTGCTCCCCAAGGGTGCCCAGAGGCCCAAGGTCACCCTAGGAGAAACCAAACACAAGTCCATGGGAAGGTGGGTAGGGCTGGCCCTAGCCCTCACCATCAGCTCTGATTTGGGGTGGGGGTAGCAGTGAGGGAGCTGGCCAGCTCCTTCTTCCCCAAAACCGAAGAGAATTATAAAACACCAGCCAGAGCCCCTCTCCTAAGTCAGCCCTGGCCATGCTGGCATCACCGCCACCACCATCATCACAGTTTGCATTTACATAGCGCTGTTCTAAACGCAGTTGACCCTTGATCGGGGAGGGGAGGTGGTTAGGGGCACAGTCAAAATCTGCACATAACTACAATCAACAGCCAGCATGTGTGGATTCCCAGCCATGGAGTTGAACTTTGAACAACGCCCAGTGGAACTGTGCCAGTCAACTGAAAAAAACCCACGTGTAAATGAACACGCACAGTTCCAACCCATGTTGCTCAAGGGTCAGTGTACCTTTTTATTGCACACATTTAATTCTCACAAAAGCCCTACCAAGATGGGTATTTTCTTTCATAAAGAAACTGAGGGGCTGCGTGGTTAAATAACTAGCTCAAGTTCGTGGCTAATAAGTGACAAGTTCAGGATGCAAGCCCAGGTAGTCTGGCTCCAGAGAGTATCAGGTGCAGAGATGGCAACTCTGGCTGGCCACCTCCTTTACGCGTCCTAAAAACCTTGGCGAGAAACCCAACAATGAAGAGGCCCTAAATGAGCCAGAATCACTGCCACACACACCTTCCTTCCCCACCAAGAGACCCAAAATGTCTTCCTCCTGCTGGGATTTGAAAATTATACTCCCTCCATGATGGCATCTGGGGCATGAGGAGGAGACGGAGCTCTGAACTCCCAGCTCCGCCCCGACCCACAGTCCCACTTCTATCCGTTTTACAGGTGGGGCTTTGTTCGAGCACAGGATCCTGGTACTAAGCCAAGACTGTTAGTCTCAGGCCTGGTCCAACTCCCTCTGAAAAGCTGAGACTCAGGTGCAGGTGAGGGGTGATCTGCCGTAAGTCCCATAGCCTCTCGAGGGCTCCCCCAGGCCTTGCCTCAACAATGCCCTCAGGCCACCAGCATCACTCATCAGCTCCGGGGCCCTGCATCGAGAGCAGCATCCCCTTCCAACAGTAGGGAGGGGGGTGCTCTCCCCAGAGCCCATGTATCAACGGGCGCCTGTTTCCTGGCAGGTAATGAGGGGCACGGGTGCTGAAATGCAGATGGTATCATGGGAGGCTGAGGGTACTGCCGACCTAGCGTGGGGGCAGGGGCAGGGGCAGGTGCCAGAGAAAACATTGCTGGGTTGGGGGCAGGGGTGGGGGCTCTGGGCCGGCTGGGCCCACTGCTGTGGCCATGGCCTGGACCCACTCCCCACCAGGTGCACAGAGAACCCATTATCTTGGGCACAAAAAAAGCTTGTTTCTTGTCCGGGCGCAGAGGGGAGGGAGGTATTATTTTTTAATTAAATTATACTTTTTTTCTTTAAACTTAAGAGATTTAAACTTTTTTTCAAATCATAGCAGACAGGAGAAATATTGAAACATTATTGAATTTTGACAGTGATAGATTAGTAAAAATGGTGATTAGAAA